CGCCATTACTCCATCTTCTTCCTTTTCTCTTTCTTTCCCATTCTCATCCTGCTTATTTTCCTTCCTTTCCCTCTCCTCCTTCTCTTTCTTCTCCTCCTCTTCCGTTCTCCTATCTTCTTCTTTCTCTTCCTTTTTCATTTTCCCTAATCTTCTTTCTTCTTTTTTTCTTATTCCTTCATTTTCTCTTTCTTCTTTCTTCGAGGATCTTAATAAGTTTCGTCTCACAACATCTGTGAAGCCCCCTTCTATGATCAGGGATCGCGGATCAACGACTCAATTTTGAGTTTTTCCGCGGAGAGCCACATCTGCTTTTCCATGCAATTCATTCGATTATTCACTTTTTTTTAAAATTAATTTGATTAACTAATATTTTTTCCTGCGGAGAGCCACATCTTTATCTCCATGCAACTCATCCGGTTATTCAATTTTTTCAATTAATTTATGATTAACTAATATGGAGGGTTGAATACTGGTCACATATCTGAAACTTGGCCGCAACTTCCCGATCCCTATTATTCCATTATCCTCCCTTCATTTTGACCCATGCTCATACATCCTTCAGAGCCAGCAAAGTGGGTAGGGAAAGAGGGCAATCCAACCCTAAAATCCTAGCACACACACCCGCTCGGCACAATCCCGTGGCTCGGTAAAATTCTCATTATCCGCGGCCTTGGATAAAAATCCGGGATTAAGTTCCCGCTGAAAATCGGAGCCATCAGGAATGGAGGAAGCACGGCGCACAATATAGCGAGTCAAAGGGAGACATTGGACAAAATTTGGAAACTTTGAAAGTTTAAATTTTCGAAAATATGAGAAAAAAAGTTGAAGAGTGGCTCCATTAGATTTCCCGTGAAATTTCCTTTCAATATTCATAGCATTATTAACGTTCAATATTAACAGAGATATCGCCCTTTGAAAAATTCGATTTATGAAGTCATCCACCAAGGTAGTGATACCCTTGGTTTCTTCCACCTTACTTTCATCCGAGTTCCGCGTTGAGAAACCAGTGCAAGAGGGCGTCACACTGACTGATGAAAGTATGGTGGAAGAGACCAAGGGTGTCATTACCGCGGTGAATGAGTCAAAAACTCGACTTTTCAAAGGGCGATATTTCGGTTAATATCGATCATAGAAAGTTGCTGTTAGGATAGATCTTAATATTGTTAGCTAATCTACAAGGATCATGCGTTATAACACGATTTTGTGACCAGCGCAACTGATCCGTTGAATTTTTATTTGTTTTTGAAATTTTTGCCAAAAATTTCATGCCCGACTTCTTCCATTAGCTCGTCTTACTGTGCGGCGCTGCGTATAGCGGATCCTTTGTTGACCGCAGACTCTGATGAGCTTGCATCTGGCCCGAGTATTTAAGTCGTTCGGTGGACGTAAGAACGTGGCTCCACTTCGCGTTGGACCGTGCGATCCGTAAGAATGCGCGCTTCGCAGGGCTCACGTCGAAGAAAACGTTACGTTGTAACGTCACGTCGCGTCGGCGGAGTGATGATTTTTTCATAGGCCGCGCGGATTGTGGCCGTCTCGGTGTCGTAATCCCTTCGGAAGCCCCTTGTTCCGTTTTACGGTCGCTTGTAAAAACGCCGCTGCTTTCTCGCGTGCCTTTGGTCCCTTCGACCCCTCTCCCCCCCATCCTTTAAAGGGTTGCCACAGAATTCACAAAATGAAATTCCCTGATATTATTCTGACACATTTTGGTGAAATTCCATGTCAATTGAAGATGACGACTGGTTAAGAAGACATAATTGAATAGTTTTCGAGCAAAATTTGTTATTTGAAACCTCAAACCCATTCAAAAGAGTAAATAAAGGTGATTTAACAAATTTCCCCTAGCCTTTTCGTCATTTTTCCTGAAATTTGCCCAGGAGAGCACAGGGGAGAATTTCATGAGCCGTCCTGCGCCGTCCGCAGCGCGCATGGCGCACGACCGACCTTTCATTATTAAACTTTATCCAGAGTTGAGAGTTCACTAATTACTTCAAAAGACCAGTGTGTAATTTTAAAAGTCGACACACGAGTTTCTCCGCCAGTAAGCACTCCCCGCAAGAAATTGTTTCCCACCCGCCCGCCGGGAGAGCCGCGGCGTGCTGCCAGCTCGAAACGCGCACTGACGCCTACAAACCTAAGGGGATACTTCAGGCATTGCGCAATGCTTGAAGTATCCACTTAGGTTTGTAGGCGTCAGTGCGCGTTTCGAGCTGGCAGCACGCCGCACCGCAGCGTGCCATAAACTTGCCCACAATTAATAGGTCAGGCTGTTAAAATGTAGGCAATTCAACATCAAATTCGAAATTAGCGACTCAAAAAACACCAGTAACGAAACTTTCGTGATTATCATCCGACTTATTTCTTCCTATTCTTGAGCTTCGCACCGTAGTGCGCTGCGGGCGGCGGCGCTCATGAAATCCTCCCCTGTGCTCAATTGACATTTCCCGGTTTTCCCTACCTTTCTTAAATTCTCAGACACTTCCCGGGTTTCCTGGTATGTGTTCCTTGACTGTGGCAACTCTGCCTCTCCACCCTGAAACGACGATAGACCTCTGACACGGTGAAACTTAAATACTATTCGATGAATTCCGTCCATTCCCAATGGACAAGGGAACTTAACTCCATTCCAGGGTTGCAAAATTGATTAAAACAATTCAATTTGTTTACAATAATATACTTCTGTATGAATTTTGTCCAAAATTTGTATGATTCTTGCATAACATCAGAGAAGAAAAAATTGGTGAAATTTTCAATCAAAAATGACCAAAACTCGCCTTGTAAAATTCAATTTGTGAGGAAAAATTTGGCAACACTGAAATGCAGTTACGTTTCTCCGTGAGGGAAAGATTTACGTATCAAAATTTTACGCAGATTAAGCTGAACATATTCCATAACTTGCCACTGAGACGTTATAATAGAGTCGAAAGATAAGAAACTTTCTTTTAAATAACCCGTACCTATAATGCCCAAATCATCAGCCAAATTAATGACGCGATCCCTACAAATTCAATGTCTGGTGAATGACTGTAGCTTTATATTCAGTCATTTGTGGATAAAATTCGGAGTAAGTCTATGTTCCAGTAAGAAAAATAATTCGGTTCATATGGAGCGTCAGACAATTTCAGTTCATACATGCACCAATCTCGCTCCATGCTTTGATCAATATGTCGCCTTCAATTCACTAGATAGGCAAAAACTCAACCGGAGAGCACGATTAGTTAGGCATTCAAGAAGCGTTACATCGCATATGCATTCATTGATCAGATAGGTGATTCGGACTACATTTGACGGTGAGGAATCACAATGTGTGGTTCATTTTAGAAGAAATGTATGTACATTTAGCTTCCCTGCGGGTTGATTGTTGAAAGTGATTGACAAAGTGATAGACAAAGAAGACATAGAGAGTATGAGACGATTCTATTGGTTGAAATGGTTAGTTTATATAGACTATGGGAGAAAATGATCGACTAACTATAGGGTCTCTCGTGGGTTCAACCCACTGGGTTGTCGTTAGTTAGTCTATTACCTACCTCTTTTGTCTATTGCAACCACCCTTTTCCACCAAGAGGATCCCTCTATATCCCTTTTGTCTTCTTTGTCTATAACTTTGTCTATCGATTTCAACAATCAGCCTGCTGACCTCTCTGGGCAGATTTGCGCTTATATTGTCTCTCCTCTGATGTAAGATCATAGCTCAATTTCCACATGAACCCTGTTCTCAGAGGCAGATCCAGCAATTTGACAACACCGGATTCCCACCATTTAAACCTATGCTAAATAATCGATTCTTGTCGAAGCACCTAGCCCCTCCGAGAATCGATACATTTTCATAGTTTAAATTGAGAGAAACAACGTTGCCAATCAGCTAGATTCGCCAATACCTTTTCTCCGTATAAGGTATTCTCGAGGTTCGTTATGCTTCCCGAGGCTGATACGGAAATAGAGATACGCCCTTAAGTCAGAAGAGAGACGATACGGATGAGGATGAGCCAGACATGGCTGTTTCTTATTGAAAAATACAGTGAATCTGACTTAATAGCAATTAAACTTGAAACTTGCAGTCTTTAAATGCAGGATCCATCGAGAGTTCACAATCACGATGAAACAACGATTTTTCACAAGCCTACAGTATGATCCAGAAGTCCCAAAAAAGCAGCATCAGGCATCGCCCATATAACTTTTGAACAAATCGACATAGAAATTTGACATCATGTGAATCCTCCTAGGGCGACGGAAACGACTTTTAACACCCATGCTTAAAACTTTAAGAGGGTCATCATGAAAAGAGGCCAGAATACTAGAGGTTCTGGTTAAAGAAGTGGTGTGGGACTTGTGAATCACCATGTATATAAAGAGAAAACGGAGGTAAACAAAGCCTGAGCACTAGCCAACTTAAAACGTCAAAATTTAAATACAAAAACTCTATCGGATGCTCAATACTGAGAGAATCGATTCCGGTATCATAATCTTTGATGATTAAAAATAGTCTTTTATTCTGCGATGACCGGAAAATGGTCAATATTTAGGGGTGAAAGTAAATTCAAGGGAGAAGAGTATAAATATAGCCTAGAAGACAACCAAGTAATTACAAACATGCAAAAATTACATCGAGAGCGCCAGGAATCACTTATGTTTTCGAACGTGAAAACGCAAACTCAGCCTGTGAATTGGCACCTTCTAACGACTGTGATTATTTTCAAATTGCTTTTAATTACCTCACAAGCTCTAGACGTTCGAATTTTAAAACGTTTAAACCATGAAACAATAATAACATGCGCCTTAAAAGTATTGTGTCCGACGGATAGTTAAATTGGACCCCACTGATTGAGTAAAAGTCAATTCGCTTTTTAAAGGAAAAAATTGGGTCGAAAGTAGCTTTGCATGCGAGTGCTTGTAAATGTCCCCCAACAATGCCCTGGAAGTTTACGAGAGAACTTTGGTTTGAGAGAATGAGCGCTAAACTTTAAGACTAAGTCGTAAAAATAAATAGAAGCTCGAACCTCTTTCCTTAAATTTCAACTGGATGCGATGTGGGTTAACGGTCCAAGTCTGGTGAACTTGCTCCGATTGTCACGTCCAATGACCGCGGAGACATAACCTTTATCGCTTCGATTGTTTTGTGCTCCGCGTCCGACGAACGAAGCCTGCGAACAAATCGACCGAGAACGGGAGAAACATTTCGAAGGAAGCTCCAAAACTCAGCTGCCCCTCTCGACGCACCTCATTGCGACTCCTTTCCGGACTCGAATCAATCCGTTCAAACCGCACAAAATCCGGGCCGACGCGACATTACGGAACTCGCCTGCGACTCCTGCCAGGCTGCAACCCGCACTGCCGCGCGGATGTGCGGGTGGCATCCCGGAGCCGCGCACGGCGCCCCGCGCGGATTTCTCGGTAACCGACTCCATTCCGGCGAGTCTTTCCACTATCATCCACCCGGGCTCCAGATATCGCCCCCCCCCACCCACCCTCACGTCTCGCGTTTTACAATCCTGCCCTCCCTCCCTTCCTCCCCCGAACACACTCGTTCCCGCGAATGGAGAGGAAAACGCGCGGGTTGAGAGCGCCGTTTGAAGTTAGCGTCGGTTCTTCAACACGATTCCCGCTTTTTTTGGTGGCGAAAAAAGAGTGCCTCTCTGGAGCGTCCGATGGAACTGATAGCGTTCTCCGCGGTCTCCGTTTTCAACTTTTTTCGTGGCTTTTTTACTGGAATGCTCCTTCGTTCACACCGGAACGGAAAAGAGAACTAAGTAGCGTTAAAACCGTTTCCGGGCAGCCAAGAATTTAAAATTTTCCTCTTTCAAAATTCACGTGCTCGTTAATGCGAACCTTTAAAAGTCCTTTAAAGAGGTGCCAAAAATAACCGTTTTCAAATAGGCTTTTCAATGAGGAAACTTATGAACTTGACAATAATCGAGCGGAAGGAAAAATTACAACCTTTACACAAAATGATGCGGGATTTCCCGGGTTTCGAATGGACAATTGTTTGTAAAACTGTAACTCTTTGAAGACAATCTGTAAAATGTTTGCCCAAATTGGTGACATTCTTCGGGGAACAGACAATGGGACATAATTCATGATAAAAGGGATTATGTCCATGGGCGGTTTGCGTGGCACATAGTTCCTTTTAGCATAAGTACATCCAAATGATAGTTTAGTGTCACTGCGGTAACTAAAACTGACTCAAGTATCACTCAATGCCGTGGAGCTGAACAAGAATGCAAAATTGAGTGATTAATAAACCGTAAAGCGCAAATCTCGAATTAGGTCGCAGCCACAGGCGCTCCGTGCAAAAACGGGTGACAGAATTTATGGAAATCTCATTGTTGAGAGGTCACTAATGGCCGGCGCACAGTGGATCGAGTCATTGGAAGAGGTCGGACAAAATGTGAAAACATTAAAAGCTTATAACTCCGTTCATACAAAACTTTGAGGTTTTGAAAGTGGTTCCATCGGTTTCCTCGTGAAATGTCCCTTAAGAGACACCCCTTAAATTAAAAAGTTAACGAATTAAATAACAAAATCTGCAGTTTTAGACAAAAATTCCATGTCCGATCTCTTTGATTGACTTGATATAGTGTGCGGCGATAGAATAGGTGTCACGCCACACCTTTCTCTTTACTGCTGCGTGAAGGAAATGAAAAACGCCTTCATTTTGGAGGGGTAAGCAACGCGCACATCCATTGAGCTCGAATAGTTGCATCCAAGCGCCGGCATCACTTCGCATCAAGAGACAGATCACAATTCGCACGATCAATTAAAACATGTTCTTGCCTTTCATGCATTGTTGAAAATGTTGAAGACTCCGAGATTACCTCTTGAATATGTTATTAATTTTTTCATTAACATTGCAATAATAGAGAATTTGCAGGTGTCTGAAATTTGGAGAATTTCATCTTTAGAATAATACTGCTAGAAAAACCGAGTACGAGTTTATCCTTGGTTTCTAAATTAAACAATTATTGGAGAAAATATGACAAAATAACCTAATCTGCTAAAATACATGTGTTTAAATGGAAAATTCCGCCAGATGACGTCGTAAGGCGGCACATTTTCTCACTTTTAAAAATATTTTTCTCAAATTTCCCATGTCAGAAAAAAAATTATGAAAAATACTGCGAACTCGGCTCATTAGATACTCTCAGATGAAGCAATAAAATTTTTGTGTGCAAATTCTCCTCGATTTCGATTCTCCCGCTACGCAAATCCATCTCCCTGCTCATGTTGGTAAAAACTGTAGTGAATCCCTTTCCCTCCGGAAAAAAGTGCGAGAGGACACAGTCACAAGTACACAACAATACTTAAACAGGGAAAAAATCAGGAATTTTGAAGCGTCGCCTTTAGATGTATTTGAACAAAAATGTTCAACATCCTTGAACAGGGTGTCTACTGATAATTCCTTGCGATTTCATAGTACCTTTTCCTTGCTTTTTACTTACTTTCCCTAAAATCCCTTTTTTCTTGGTGATTCTCAGAACACCTTACGAGGTACCTTGTGAGGTAAGGATTTTTCCTTACCTCACATTTAATTGACATAACATAACACACCTACGCATTTTAACAGTCGTAGTTTTTTATGCGGATTGGGGAATTGGAACGATATAATGACAAAGGAATAAACCGAGAAACACGAAGAATCTTACCAGGGATTTGTTGGAATGTGTTAAGAAATTGCGTACCCCCAAAGCTACTGCTTGGAGTTCACCACGGATATCTCGATTTTTTCGTACTTTTTCACGGAAAATCTGTACCTTTGCCGTGGCCGTGCTTCCGCAGAGACCTTCCAAAACCCGTGCTTTTTCCGTGTATTCGTACTTTTTCCGTACAGTAAACACCCAACTTGGAGGACTGCATCAAAATACTTGACATTGTACTTAATATACAAAGTGGAAACAGTTAAAATAACATCCGAGAAATCGGAGGCAGGTGATCCTCAAACTTGGAGATTCTCGTGATAAACTCTCGACGAGTCCTAAAGGAGAATACTCCGGAACACCTCTACCGTTCCGTAAGCCTACAGTAATTACGGCCCCGTAAATCCGGTTGAAAAAGTACGACTATTGATCCTGTGATCATTAGTGTTCAGAGGGCGCCGACACCGAATCGTGCAGAAATTGGCGATTCCGTCAAAGCAAACACTGTCCTAATCCAGGGGTTTTAATTAAAATCCGACAATTTTTCGCAGTTTATCGCCACCGCGCTGCTCTCAAGTGTCTGCGCAGTGCACTTGACTTAGTTCCAATTGAGCGAATAAATGCATGCAACGGCCAAGCTTCAACAAATACTCACTCCGGCCGGGATCAAAGGCTGACTCATTCGCGATTCTTCCAAGTTGGCAACGCTTTTTTTCCTCCATTTAAAGGTAGGTTAAACAATCGATTCTAAGTGAGGCAGCCTAGCACCTAGAATCGATTACTTTAAAGGATTTAAATGGAATATTGCCAGTGTTGCCAGCTTACTAGAATCGACATTGGTTGACTGTTGAAATGAAATATCGGATACTGTCAAGTTTCTCGAGATAAAATACAGATTTTCTGGGAGGCAATAGAGAACATTCATCTCCCGCCGATTTTCCAGCGAATTTGATTTGAAATTTCACCTTTAGTCTATAAAAATTTCACAAAAAAATGCGAACGTGAAATTTGCGGGCCCCTCGTTAATTTGCGCTATCACCGATGAGTGATACACCTCGTATTTTTTCCGAACGGAACTATAGACGAGGGGGAAAGATGAAGTTTTCTCGTTGAAGCTGCATAAGGAACAATATAAAAGTGGGCGTGATTCCCTTTGGGAAAATAGAAAAGCGGGATTTGACATCAAATCAAACGGAACAGAGAGCCAAAATATGCGGCACTCGTGAGCCATGGGCATTGCAAAAGAGCATTGTGGACAGGGCTCATGAGTTAAAGGTCCTCGACCGTGTGCGTCCCCGGCGCGTCATCGTCGCTGACGTCACTGGCGCTTTACAATTCCCATTCATTCTTAAGGCCCTCGACTGACAGGCACACCCCTTCTTTCCCACTTGTTTCTGATTCCGTGTGGTAGGAACACGTTCAATTGGACGAGTTAAGCAGAAAGGAACCAAGCCACATCAGCTATGGCCAATTAACTTGGCACATTTATTTTTAACAAGAGAACGTTTGTGCGTATATCTTTAAAAATTATAAAATATTTGATTCGCACTAGACAGAAAATTCACTGAAATTAGCACAAAAATCCGCACGATCGTTCTCATGGAAAAAATTAAATTGCCCAAATGGTTTGCATTTTGCAAAAAGGAACCAAGAGCATTCCAATTGATGCTGCTGAGATTGTGCAGCTTACATTTTTTGCAATAAAATTGGATCGCATTTTGCAAAAAGGAACCAAGAGCATTCCATTGTCGCAAAGATTGTGAAACTTTTGTTCCCTCGCGAATATATACTGGTTATTGAAACAAATATTATCTTTACTCTCGATAAACTACAAATTCAAGACGAGAATTACCTTTGTAAATTTGATTTGTTGCGCGATTTCAGTAATTTTACTGCAACGAATATAAGTTGCACAATCCTAGCGACAGTGGAAGGCTCCCGGTTCCTTTCTGCAAAATGCGATCAAATTAAATTTGGCAACAGCTGATGTGGCTTGGTTCCTTTCTGCTTAAATTCCTCCTTACCTTTCCAATTCCTCGCGATTCCCTGACTTTCCGAATAAATCTTTCCCCGTTTTCCGGGATTTTCCGGAATCTCCGCGACCCTGCTGTGAGATGCGGGGCGGCGCGCGGGCCGGACGCGGCATGAAAAATGTAACTCGGTTAAATCGTAATCAGCTCATCGTAGACAGGAAGTGTAGTCGGGACGCGAGAGGAAACTAGGAAATAGGTGATGGTCGACC